GAGCTTTGGGTTTGTAAGTGTAGGGGAGTGGTTTGAGAGATGGCTCAGGTGCTGTCAACAGAGAAAAAGGGAAGATATTAAAATCTTACTCATCATTTCATCCAGAGCTTCAGGAAGGAGTTTTTAAAGGGCTTAGACATCTTGTTAGTTTTTTTACCAAAGAACCTTTTTCAGAAAGTGGTGAACCAGGACCAACAGCACCAAACAGGTGAGGACAGACAAGGTCAGTGCCTCTGGGAATCCATGATGCAGATGCCAGGAAGTAAGCAGCTTAAGCTAAAAAGAGAAGGTACGTCGCTTCTCGGCCTTTGGGCTAAGATCAAGTGTAGTAAAAAGAGAAGGTACAGAGTGAGGATCAGCAAATAGGGCTCCTCGGGGGCAGATGAAGCTCTGGTCATGAATGTCTGAGACTTAAAGCAAGAATAACCCTCCAGCGACCTTGCTACCCAGTCCTAAGTGCCAGACTGAGCTGCAGTCCTCAAGGTCAGGATAGATGGCCGTTTTCTTCTTGAGGATTCCCAGGGAGAGTCCAGCTTAGTTTGAATACTACATTTTTTTCATTTATCTCTAATGAAATCTCACTTCCTTCTATTTTATCTGATAACCTCTTTCTGTCCCTTGGAGTAGATTTGATCAGCATCTACCATTAGACTCTTCAAAAGTCATCTGTCCTCAAAACCATATAACCTCAGTCATTTTAATCTTTCCTCTGGAGCAAAACCACGTAAATAAGGCTACTAATAAGAAGTACAGCCATATGGTTCTCACTTCATGGCTCCATGACTCACCTCAAAATAAGATTTCTGTTCTGGGGCGCCTGGGTGGCTCAGTCGTTAAGCGTCTGCCTTTGGCTCAGGACATGATCCCAGGGTCCTAGGATCGAGCCCCACATCGGGCTCCCTGCTTGGCAGGAAGCCTGCTTCTCCCTCTCCCACTCCCCCTGCTTGTGTTCATGCTCTCGCTATCTCTCTCTGTCAAATAAATAAATAAAATCTTAAAAAAAGATTTTTGTTTTCACCATCCCAGCTCTCTCTCATAATGGCATCAATGTCCCATACATCACTGACAGTATATTTTAAACAGACGTTTTCTCCCTTTTTAAGGTATTTTATATCATTGATCTTAATAATAAAGCTAGAAATAAGTAATATATACTAGGCTTCTTTTGTAAAGGCTACAAGAACCAGGCCCTGCTGTGAATCAAGAGCCAAACCCAGATTCTCTCAAATATTTAAGTCTATCAAATAGTACAGTTTTGAAAAATAGTTTATCCTCAGAAATAGTTTATCCTCAGATTTTACCTATTCCTGGAAGTACAACTCCAATAAATTATGGTTCACTTACAAGTAATTAAGATATATACATCAAATAGCCCTTTAGATCAGTTTGTGAAGAGAGTTGCTTTCCATCTAGTAATTGTCTTGACACAAGGTCACATTCCTAAAATAATTGCATCTCTTGCTTCCGTGAATTCTCAACACCTCACCTAAACAGGCCCAGCAGGATCTTCTTGAACAAGCCAGCATGTGTTTTGTAGGAACTTCTTGCTCTGGTGAAAGATTGTAGGTTCCGACTGATAAGCACCCAAAAACTAAGTTACAAAAATTACTGCATCCCATTTGTATCACACACCCAGAACTTAGATTACCTGGCCTGAGGAAGAATTTTCTATTAATCAATGAGGAAAAGTATTCAGCCAGGGGACACTGGATAATATTGTGGGAATGGCAAAAAGGTGAGATCAAACCTTGCCAAGGAGGAGCAAGTCAGAATAGACCTACCCAACCTGGACTAGTAATCAGTAATCTCCTCAGTAATCTCCTACCATGGAAGTGGACACTTGTCACATCAGGCGAGACTCTTGAGACTTACTTCTCCCTTGTTCCTTAGGGACAAAGGATGGTTTAGCTTCCAGATTCAGAAAAGGGCCATTTCTCAGAGGTAGCCTTGACCATTCTTCCCTAAAAGCCACATGAACGCCTACCCCTGAGCAGTAAATCAGATGTGCACTGACAGGCTGGAAGGGAAATACCACCACCCTCAAGAATCCCTGGTGGGCACGGCCTGAACCAAGAAGCCCAGCAATAGAGCTGTTCCGGTTTGATTTAACATTGATATTGTGCTTTCTATGTGCTGGGCTCTTTGTCGGAACTTTACAAGGAGTAACTCACTGACTCCTCCTCAGAATTCTTGAGGTGGTTACTATTCTCTTTTCCATTTTACAGAAAACAGAGAAGTTAAGTAACTTTCCCAAGGTCACAGAAGCTATAAGGAGCATAGACAGAATGCAGACTCAGGCAGCCTGGCTTCAGAATCTGAGCTCTCAACCGTCCTCCTATGCTGCATCTTACCTGGGCCAGGCTCACCCATCTCTGCCCTTCCTAAGTATCCTCAGCACACTGAAGTCATAAGAGCAAAGATCTCCAATTTCCAAACTCTTGGAAGGTCCAAAGAAGGCGAGGCCAGCAAGAAGGTCCCAGCTGGCCATCACACTGAGGTAGGACAGGTTGGCCAGGGCTGGGACTAGTCACTAAGTTCAGATGCCCAAGGGTCTTGGCTCATAGATTTCCATGACTCTTTCTCCACTGCTATCTCTCCCATCTGAGATGCTTCCTCTTCCTTATACAGAGCCTTCCTTTTCACTCTTCCCTCCTCCTCATTTCCCCTTTGCAGGGAGCCCAAGCCTGTGTTAGCTGAGTAGAGTGTGTATTACCAGATATAGGGAATCTGAGAAAAGAGAAAGTAATCTTTATCACCACCTAACTGAATCAATTCAAGAGGATACTTTAGGATCTCAAGAACTCTGTTGCCTTTCCATGCTTAATAGAGAACGTAGTGAGTAAAAAGGATTGCTTAGAGGTGTCAGTGTGCCCGAGAGACATCATTATCTCTGGAACATCATTTGCAAAGTGTATCAAGGAACTAATTTAGTTTTAATCCTAGACTTCCTGTGTGTGTGTCAGGTACCTTTGGTTTGCCCGTCCAGATCAACTCTCCACCTGGCTCTGGACCCTAGGAGCCTGACCCTGTGGACTATGGGCTCCCATGCCCTCCTGCTCATCTAGTTGGGTTCTACGAAGGGGACAAACAAAGAGATCAGAGTATGAAAAGGCTGAGGTCAGAGTATTGAGGAGGTCTTTACCTGACTCTCCTGGTTCTCTTACGTCTTGTCCTTTCAGGCCTGGGAGTAGTAAGGGTTCACTGCTTACTGCCTCGGGTTGTTGCACGATTCTTTCTTGTGGCTCCGCTACATCTGGCACACATCTTTGTAATGGTCTCTTTGTAAATAAACCCTCCTATAATTTGAATTTAAATATTCCATCTGTTTCCTCTTGGGGCCCAAACTGATACACTAGGTGAAGCTGATTTAAAATTATACCCAGTCAAATGCCAGTTCAGTAAAAGCCACTGCAAAATTAGAGGGGCTGCACCAGTCCAAAAATAAATAAAAATCACATGCCTAGAAAAGATTTCTGTCATCACTTCACAACCACATTTGCCTATTTCCTGGGAACTAAAGTTCAGTGGGTACCACCAGAAATCAGTTAAGAACAATCACTTGAGCAAAATCTATTAACAACCTGATCCTAGAATATCAAGTTGAAACTGGACCTCTCTTGTAAAAAATTAAAATAAAAAGAAAGCCATAAGAGGCATTGCAAAGGAAGAGAGAAAACAAACTCTCACACCCTTTTTAACCAATTGAGAAGCAGGGCATAGAGGTGGGGGAGTTCATAGTCTTGTTATCCTGCTTGGCCTGGGATCTTGTTAATACTACCAAGCTCTTTACTTTACATAATGGTACAATTTGAGGGTTAGTAACTGTGCTCTATCTGGAAGCTGAGTTGAGAAAAAAAATCTGTCTGATAAATGGTGAAACGTAATACCTTGGCCATAGCTTGCTGTGAAGTATTTACCCACTGATAAATTCTCCAGGTATGTATATGAGAGGCTTTTCAGATATGGACTAACAATAGCCCTCTCTCGTGCTTACTGCCTATAGCCTCAACTGACAGAGCAAGAAAGAGTGGGGTAAAGGTGGTGGGTAGTGCTAGCTGAACAGAGCATTAGTGGACACTACAGATCAGGCTTAGCAGCCAAGGTGTTCGTGCATTTTCTCAATGACCTTATCCACAGGATGCAGAAACTCCCAACTAAGGGAGACAAAGCTATGGAAACTCCTAGGGTCTGGGGTACTAGTATTTAGCAGTTAGAATGGAAAGCTTAGGATGACTTTCAGAAAATCCATCTCCAGTGCTGTTGTCATTGTGACCCAGGCTGATTATTGTTGCTTTAGCTTAAAGTAAGAATGACTGAGTCTGAAAAGCAAAAAAGGTTATCATTAGGCCAAAGTGGCAAGCCAAATAGGAGGAAAACCATGGGAGGCAAGAGAAAGGTCTATCAGATGGAGGCCAGCAAACTTACAATGGAGGCAGAGACTCTGTGAACCTGGGGATGACCAGTTCTGAGAGCCATCAGCCCAGGTTGAGTGAGAAGGGAACCTAAACTGAACATGGCCAGGTGCTTAATTGCTGAGTTGTGATGGATGTATTACCTTAGAAAAGAATGCTTTCTCCACAGAGTACCCAAATCTGTTTCATGTGCCCATTTCAGAAACAGAAAACATCAGATCTTCTTCACACTAAGGGTGGAGATCCAACCCCAAAGGTCCAGGAAGGCAGTAAAGTGAGATATCCAAATGGCCCTTCAATCCACCCTCAACTTCTTCCTTCCAGAACTCTTATCTCTCAGAGTTAGAGATAACACTGGTTCTGACAGGCAGTAAAGTCTTCCCAGGGACTTTATGAGAGAGACGATGCCTTCTCTCATTGGGGAGAATCACGACTCTATCTCCAGTGGCCTTTTCAAGCCAAGTCCTAGGTTCTGTTGTTAGCAAAATTTCTCCTGGTTTCTAATATATAGTTAATGCTGATCATGGACTTCCTATGCTGATATAATTTGCTCCTATTTATACATTCTTTTAATAATTTAAGTAGGAATTTGAGGACACAAAAGCTCTAGCTTCTTCAGCTGCAGATAGCAGATTCAGGCCCTAATGAGAGAAAAAAAGTAGAGGATGGGAAGGATCCCCTACCAAGGACGGGCTGCCTGAAATTCTTCACTTGGGATTTGCATTCACATGTAACATAGTCAAGACTGAGATGTTCTTCCAGACCTCCTTCCTGAGAACTTGTACAGCTCATACCCACCCACCAATCTTGCTATGCCCACCCATCCCTGCCAGGCTTACCACCATCCTCCCAGGAAGTCAGAACAGTTGCTCTGATAGGAGAGCCAGAAGAGACAGCAGACTTGGTAGAAGCAGTTGGTGAGCTAGGAGGAAAAGTGAAAAAGAGATATAATCTGTAAGAAGGAGGAGAGATCAATGATTTTCAGTGATGTATAAAATCAGGTAGCATGGCAAATGAGAAGAAGATGCTAGATTTGGCAGTGAAAAGGTGACTGGTTCTTATGAGAGAGCTGTTTACAGAACAGCTAAGGACCATACCAAGTACTAACAGGCTTTCAGAGCAACTGGACTTCTCATACATTGATGGTGGGGATGATTTCCACAAAAATATGCAAAAACAAAATACAAAAGTCAACTGTTTCTGTGTACCAAAAAATGAAGTTTAATGAAAGATACTTTAAGATATAATCTTTAGGGGCACCTGGGTGGCTCAGTCAGTTAAGCATCTGCCTTCGGCTCAGGTTGTGATCCCAGGGTCCCTCTCCCTCTGCCCCCTATTCGTGCTTGCTCTCTTTCTCTCTCAAAAAAAATAAATCTTTTTTAAAAGGATATAATTTTTAAAATAGTGTATCTTCAAATATTTTTTTCTGTCTCTCCCATCTATCCCTTCTTTCTAGGACTCCAATTATATGTATATTAGGCCACTTGATAATATCCCAGGGATCTCTAATACTGTTCTCTCTCTCTTTCAGTCTTTCTGTCCCTGTGTTTTATTTTGGATAGTTTCTATTGCTATGTCTTCAAGTTTACTAATCTTTTCTTCTGCAATGTCTCAGCTGCTATTAATCCCAATCAGTGTACTTTCATTCTAGATGTTGTGTTTTCATTTCTAGAAGTTCAATTTAAAACTTTTTTTTTATGGTTGTTTAAACTGTCTACAGGTTATATGACACACAGAAGGCCTTCCTGCTCCTATCTCACCCCCAGGAAAATTCCATTCTCCTCTGTGATTTCTGCATCCATCTGTCACACAGACAGAAAGCCTCTCCAGCAGACCAGTAACCCAGTTGAAACAAACACACAAACAAACGAACCAAAACACTCACCACTCACAACTCAAATGCACAGTGCTTCCTAGGCTGTTACACAGCGGGCACCTGATAGATACTTGTTGGATAGTTAATAATGAAGAACAACTCAACAACCCCCGCCAAAAAAAATCCAAATAAAAAATGGGCAGAGGACCTGAATAGACATTTTTCCAAAGAAGATATACAGATGGCCAACAAACACATGAAAAGATGCTCAACATGACTAATCATCAGGGGAATGCAAATCAGAACCACAATGAGATATCACCTCACACCTGTCAGAATGGCTAGAATCAAAAAGACAAAAAAGAACAAGTGTTGATGAGGAGATGCAGAAAAAGGAACCCTCACGCATTTCTGGTGGGAATGTAAATTGGTGCAGCCACTGTGGAAAATAGGATGGAGTTTCCTCAAAAAATTCAAAATAGAACTACCATATGATCCAGTAACTTCACTACTGAGTATTTACCCAAAGAATACAAAAACACTAATTCAAAGAGATACATGCACCCCTATGTTTACTGCAGTATTATTTACAATAGCCAAGATATGGAAGCAGCCCAAGTGTTCATCCATAGACAAATGGATAAAGAAGATGTGTATATACATATACATTCTCCCACATATGCATATATACACATATACATATATACACATATATATGTGTGTATGTACCTACAATGGCATATTACTCATTCTTAAAAAGAATGAGATCTTGCCATGTGTGACAACATGGATGGACCTAAAGTGAAATAATTCAAAGACAAATACCATATGATCTCACTTACATGTGGAATATAAAAAACAAAACAAATGAGCAAACAAAGCAGAAACAGACCCATAAATACAGAGAACAAATTGATGGTTGACAGAGGAAGGAGATGGAAGGGATGGGCAAAATGAGTGAAGGGGAGTGGGAAGTGCAGGCTTCTCATTACGGAATGAATAAGTCATAGAGGTGAAAGGTACAGCATAGGGAATATTGTCTGTGGTATTATAATAGTGTTGTATGGTGACAGATGAGAGCTACACTTGTGATGAACATAGCATAACATATGGAGTTGCTGAATCACGGTGTTGTACACCTGAAACTAACATTGTGTGTCAACTATACTTCAATTTTTAAAAAAGGGAACATTTTTTTAAAATAATGAAGACAGAAGAAACCATGCTGTAAGGAAAGGAGCTAGATAACTTTGAACACCAGGATCTTTTAGGCACTCCTGAAATCTTCCCCTGTGGGTGACTCCTTCTTGAGCTCTAAGGTTGGGTCTGCCAGTGTTAACGCAATGCTGATGTCATTTAGCCACCTCTGGGGAAAATGCTGAAAATTTGTTTAAAATGAAGGAGTTATATTAAGAGGAAAGGTCAAGAGACTGAAAATTTCAAGAGACTGAAAATTCCAACTTTGTAATCATTGGCTAGCTAAATGCTGAGTGGTTATATTATCTTGCTATCAGCTAAGGAAGAGAACAGATCTAGAAATTATCCTGTTTCCAAGAGAATGACTGAAGAAATCAAAGTACCAAGGAGGAGTACTTGGAGGCCCTCCTGTTCCTCTCTTACTCAATTCCATCTTAAGTCCTTGGTGCCAGCCAGGGTCATAAATTAGCTGTTATCTGGGGGCTTAGAGCAGATTATCTTGTAGAGTCATACAGATTTTTAGAGCAAAATGGACCTTTAAGATCTTCCTGTTAACCACAACTGCATTGATTGTAGATAATCCAAATCATCAAGCCATAGGCAGTCATCTGATGGGCATGGCATAAGGACTCTGTGCTCTGTTGGCTCTGTATTCAGGCCCTCAGTGAACTCAACAGCCTATTACACCTCCCACTTCCTGGAGAGGACATCCAGTTCCTCTCTCTAACCCTGACCTTAAGAAGTCTCCTTCCATGCTCCTGTCTTCCCAAAAACCTGAAGGTCATTTCCATTTAGATGACCCACTGATGTCCAGCACCACTATGTTCTACACAAGAACTTCCTGTATCAGGGCACTTGAGTGGCTCAGTTGGTTAAGCATCTGCCTTTGGCTCACATCATGATCCCAGGGTTCTGGGATAGAGTCCCACGTCAGGCTCCATGTCCAGCTTGAGGTTCTTTTTCTCCCTCTGCTCCTCCCACTTGTGCTCATGTGCTCTCTCTCTCAAATAAATAAATAAAAACCTTAAAAAAAAAAAAAAGAACTTCCTGTATCTTCTCAGATGCCACCTCCTCCCAGTTCCCCTCTGTTACCCACTGGGTAAAGCACTCCTTATACTTGCTTCTCTCCTCCTATACCAGCCCTCCCAACCCCCACCATTGGCACTTTCCTTCACTCAACCTTGTGCTGGAGCAGAGCTTGTGTTAGAGCTAAGGGCCTTTATGCCCTCTCACCAGGGGGGAAGTTCCTTGAGTGAAGAGCTTGTGAGGTAGAAAAAGAGATATGCAGTAGGGTGCAGAGGGAAGCATTTAAAGATATAGTTCTTCAACATCACAATTTTGGATAGTGTGCACCCTGAATACCACGCTATTTGAATTACTGCAGGCAGTTAAAATGGCAGGTTTGAAGGGGAGGTGACAACAAGTGTTTTGCAAGGATCCCGTTATCTTTATAATCCCATTATTTTTGTATCCAGTTATAGTTATTTTTTGAAATGCTTGCCATTTCTCATGGAATTCTGATGCTTTTTGAATTTTGCTGGCAAGAACGGTAAGGTCTTTTTTTCTCTAGCTTTGTCCCACATGCAGGTTCCTGTGGCAGTGAGACACCAGATGTGTGAAGGGTGTGGAAAGAGAGGAGGGACTTGATAAATGCCCCTCCATGCTGCAGCGCTGGGCTTGGCCATACCAGATAACCTGCTCTTTCAGGAAAGAGTTTCTAAAAAATACCTAACTGAAAGATCAACCACACGTTATCCGACCACAATAAGGAGAGTGGGAATATGGTAAATACTAAGGGCTTACAACCTCTGTCCTGGCATTAGGGATTTCTATCTTCCCTCCCGTCCTCTGCTTCTACATCCTGTTTGTACTTTCTCTCTCTCTCTGACTCTCCTTCCCTCTCTCTCCCTCAAACCCCCTCCTTCCTTTCTCCCGTCTCTCCAAGTACACTTTGCAGTGCTCTGCCTGAGAATACTGTGATGGAGACGGCTCTGGGAAAACAGCCTCCGGAATGCCTGTGGGGCCATCACAGTCCTTGCAGAGTGGAGCTGGTGACCGAGGCAGACGGTGCTGTGTTTGTGCTCTGTGTGTCAGAGAGCAGGTGGGTGAGCAGTCATGGCCTTGTGATGGGGATGGACGAGGCTTGGGGAGAACCCAGGGAGGCCCTGTGAGTGTGCTCATGTGCTATAGACATTCGGCATCAACAACCTTCTACAATTAGTCTTATAAGGATGTGGATTCAAATCTTTATTTTGTTTGCTAAACTTCATGGGAGACTTTTGGCTTGGGTTCTGGTTAGAAAAGCCTGACCTCCAGTATCCCTTATTGATTTATGATTGGCTAATTATTTTCCATGGCTAAATTGTGAGGTGAACGAAGTCTAAAACAGTTGGTGTTGTTCTCCCAACACCAATGCTCTAACGCTGATAAGAGTCTATCCTTGGGTGCCTGGGTGGCTCAGTTGGTTAAGCAACTGCCTTTGGCTCAGGTCATGATCCTGGAGTCCCGGGATCGAGTCCCGCATCGGGCTCCCTGCTCAGCTAGGAGCCTGCTTCTCCCTCTGACCCTCCCCCCTCTCATGTACTCTCATTCTCGCTCTCTCAAATAAATAAATAAAATCTTAAAAAAAAAAAAAAAGAGTCTATCCTTGTCTGGAAGATAACTTATAAGGAAGCAATCCTTGGCCTATTTGTTATTAAGCATTTCAAGGTTTATCTCTCTTGGGGCTTTTTACTTTTAATGCAGGATTAGAAATATTTGGAGTCAGAGGCTCTATGGGCAAAGCGACCTCATGACCTTGGGGGAAGTACAGTATTTAACTTCCTTGAACCTCAGTTTCCACTTCTGCAAAATGGAAGTGGTGATAAGCATATCTGCCTACAAGATTGGGAGTGATTAAATTAGAACCA